GCCATCTCCCCATTTCCCTCCTTGCTTGGGGTGAGGGTATGATTCTGTTCTCTTAATCTTTTTGTAACTGTCTATGGTGAGTGAGATTGGACACACGTAGGAGAATTTTTCTGACTCTGTGGGAGGCCCCAGGCTCTGCTCTGATGCTGGTGGAATCCCTCTGATCCCTGCCTGATGGCCTGTTGCTTCCTCTGGATGAAACATCATTTGTACCATTAGCTCAAGGGATAGAGGAAGTACATTTATGGGAAATCAAGTTGCTTTGTCAATTCCAGCAGAAAGGTGATGGAGCCCTTAAAAGGAGGGTTTCCTGACTTGATGTCAGAACTCAAATTTCTTTTTTCTTCTCTGGTGAGGTAAAACTAAATTGGCCATCAGAGTCACTGTTTTCCCCATCCCTCACCTAACCTCACTGTCTGGAGTCTGTAGCAGAGTTAGAGGGGACAATCTCTGAAGGTAATGAGGCCTTCTTTAAGGAGACACTATGTCCCTGCTGTATGTACTTTTGTCCTTACATTTACACGACACTTCTTCATTCTTTCAGGAAGGCAATATGCCATGCACTAGACACTAAGGGAATAAACTTTAAAAGGCATGGCACCTACCTTCAAGGAACTTGAAAACAGATGCACCTGAATACAATGACAATGAAAGGTAACACATTCAAGGAAATGCAGGAGAGGACACCTAAATCAGCCTCAAACCTCAGGCAAGGTTCACATTGGATGAGCTAAAGTGTAAAGGTTAAGTACCAGCTTTCTGGGCAAACAAGCAGTGCTTAGGCATTTCTAGGAATCAGCAGAGAAGTTCCAGCATAGAAGAGAAGAGGCTAAAAGAAGGGGAGGACTGATGAAACAGATGCCACAAATAAAGCAGTTTTGAAAAGGAGGGAGAGATGGAAAGTGTCAGTTTCTAGAGAGAAATCAGAAAAGATAAGAATCCCTTATCTTCGCCTGTTGGGTTTAGAAAATGATAAATCATTGTAGACAATGGTGATAACAGTGCCTGTGGAAGAGAGGATGGAGGGGACTGTTAAGAAGCCAGTAGAAAGTGTATTAGTTTTCCATGGCTGCATAACAGATCTCCATAAATTTAGTGGCTTAAAATGTTTATTCTATTTATTTGCTCTGCTACTTTGATCTCTAACCTTTTGATTCATTTTTTTAAAAACTCACTTGATTAGGTCATATCCACACAGGATAATCTCCTGTTTGATTAACTTCAAGTCACCCGATGAGGGACTTTAATTACATCTACAAAATTCCTTTCCCTTTGCCAGGTTCTATTAATTAGAAGCAAGTGACAACTTCCACCCATACTTGAGGAGGGGATTATACAAGAGTGGGATTCTGGGAAGTCACTTTAGGGTGTGTTTGCCATGAAAAGGAAATCAATACAGTGATTGTATGTTAAAGATATAACTGTCAAGAGAACAACATGGACCTGTAACTGTGGGAAAGACAGGATCCACAAAGATCTTAGTGTACGTATATACATACATTTCTAATTAGCTTTTATTACTTAACAAACCACGCCAAAATTTAGTGTTTATAAACAACAACCTTCTATTTAGCTCAGAAATCTGCCGGTCAACAATTTGGCAAGGTTCAGCCAGGTGGTTCCACAGGACTGGATCTTTGTTGTGTTTCACTTTTGTGTCTGCAGTTGGCTTCTGGATTGGTTTGTAGATGATTAGCTGTCTGGTGGCTTGTTAGTTGAGATGTGGTATTGTATTTTCCAGAAGACTAGCTGGACTCATTCACATTGTGGCAATGTTCTGCACTCAGCAAGCCAATAAGCTGCAATGCATACTGCTTTTCTAACCATTGCTTCTTATATCACATTTGCTAATGATCTACTGGCCAAAACAAATTATATGGCCAGTTGAGCTAACAGGGCAAACAAAAGGACTTTGCCTTTTTAATGAAAAGACTAGAGAATGGTGAAAATTTTTATAGTCTAGATGATATTTATTATGATGTTTTTAAATATTAGAAAAATTCTGCTTTATATTTATGTTAAGATGAGAGAGCTAGTAAAAAAACAAAAAGGATGAATGCATAGCCTATGAGGATAACTGATGAAATGTGATCCCTAAGACAGGATCTTCTGTGACTCAGAGTACATAGAGAAAATTAACCTTTAAAAAGTGAGAAGTCATAATTTTTCTAAAATAAAAAAAAAAGGGTAGATCAAGAAAATTGGATTTTCCTGGTAATCTCAGTTTTCCTTGGAGAAAAGAAATCTAAGTTGTTGAGTACAGTGAGAGAATGGTGAGAAAAGGGTTGATGGTGAGTGTTGACTTTTTGGAAGATCTGTTTTTCAGAACAGGAAGGAAAGCTGATGACAGCAGAACATTGCAAGTGTCCTGTGTTACTAGGATTATGTGAATGTATTCCAGGGTTCAGGACAGTCTTTCTAGTAAAAGAGAGTTTTGAGAATGACTTTGGAGGAGGTGTGTGGTAAGGGGGCTCAAGTAATTGGAGGAGGGTTTGGGATTGGAGTACAAAGTCAGGGGTAGTTCTGAGAGATGTTTGAAGCAAAGGACTCAACAAAGATCAGGTTAGAAATAAATAGTGGAGAAGAAGGAGAACACGTTTGAGGGAGAAGAAATTAGAGTAACAGTAACAAACCTAGTAACAAACAGCAGGAGGAGTTATTAATGGGAGAGAATGAAAGGATGGAAATAATTTATAGACATCAATAGAGAAATAAGGGATTTACAGGGAAGAGGTAAAGTCTGGGCAACTCACTGAGCATTTGACAGGTATCCATTCTTTCTGCATAAAGTCATTCATGTCTTTAGCTCCTCTTTTAAAAAACTTATTGAGAGGAACTCAGGACGATGAGTATTTTTCATTAAAAAATCCATTCTTCCCTCCTTGGAATTTTAAAGAACCATGGTGCCACATTTTTATATTAGGATAAATTAGAATAATAGCAGAGTATATTTACAAATTAGAAATGAATATATTATAAATATTTATTAATATACAGGATGTAAAAATATAAAAATATGTAGATTAATATAAACGATAAACATTCTTAGATTTTTCAGGTTTTTCTCTTAGAAGTTCTTCATAATTAACTATTAAAAAGTACAATAAAACTGAGTTACTTATATTAGCTAAAATATGACTTCATGTAGTAGAAAATTTGGTAACTAGAATCCATACTCTTGAAAAAGTTTGTTGGAACAATATTTTCCTCTGAATGAGATCCTCAAAATTATGGCCCTATGATTTTATCATGACATTTTGATGAATAATCAGGATAAATTAATGAGTTTGTCATATAAATTGAAGTTATTTGGAAACATGACTGAAAAGATAATGGGATTTTGGGGGTTTTATTACTAATTTATAAAATTCTTTACTAAAAGCTGTGGCACAACATGAAAGGCATCCTACCAGGTCTTGAACTGTTTTCATTCCTTCTGTGAGGAGGCCATCATTGGAAACAATAAGAGAAGAATTTCGTTTATGATTAATCACATGAAACAGTTCTACAACCACTGACTAAGTAGAATTGTTTCTAAGTAAAACTTATGTGAGGGAATGTTTAAGCTTTCTTTCTCAATTTCTCTGCTTGATTTCAATTGTCCCGTATTTATGGATATTCTGGGTTATGCCAATGTACTCAAATATTTATTGTGGCAAGAATTTTGTGTTGCAAACACATATGTGGCTTACATATAAAAAGAAATTAATATTTTGTGTATATTTGCTCAGAAACTGGAAAGTCTGGGGTGAGTTGTTTGAATTTATTAGTTTTAAATGGTTTTCAGAACTCAAAACTATATGATATGAAAATCTTTACATTAGAACTGATGGGTACCTTAACATGGACACCTTAAGCAAAACCAAGAAGTATCTTTTACTGGATTTTTAAATCAACCTTTTATTAAGTTTAAGTATTATTGTCATACATTTTCCTGCTATGTAATGCAAAAAATATATACATATAAAATCACTTAATAAATATTCATTATTTCCCCAAATTCTTGGTTACACACGAGTAGTTTCTCTTATGAATTGATAGAATCGAATCAATAATTTTGAAAGAAAACCTCTGTTTAAAAGATTTGACTTTAGACTCACTTATAATTTCAGTATTTGTCTTAAAAATAGAGCACAGGAATATATGTTATATATAACCATGTTATTACACAGGCTAGCTTGACAAGGATACATTATTTCTTTATTGTCTGTTTATTTTGTGTGGAATTGATGAGTTAGTTGCACTGTGTAATAGATTACATTTATAAAGTACTCTGGATTCCTTTGATATGAAAGAATATGTGTCTCAGTAACAAATAACCAAGTTGTTTGTTATGTGTTTATCCTGGCAAGTAATTAGGGAAAATATTTTTGTAAGCTAAAATCCCCTCTCTGTTTTGGACTTTGCTTTCACTCTCTCATTGTTTACCATTGTATATTGATATTGGATGCTACATCTTTTGAATTCTGGGCATTTTTTTTTAGGTTCACAACATGTAACAGTAGTCCAGATTTTTAGGATTTCAAACTTTGAAGTACGTTAAATTTTTTAAGGACTGTAGTCATTATTATTATATGATGGTTTATATTCTTACAATGAAAGAAAATCTATTTCATTTTCCGAGGGAATTTTGAAATTTACATTGATGGTGATTTAAATCTTTTCAAATCACACAAATTCCAAATTAAGATAACTCTTTTAGATTCTGTCAATGAGTAATTTCTAAATGGAAATATGCAAATATAATTTAATATTGATGCTCATTCCGGGGAACAAATGAGCTATTGTATATAATACTTCAAGTTTTTAATATTCTTTTTCAAATTCAAAACAGTGCCTCTTTGGCAAAACAGAATTCTTTCCATTTTTATGGAGGTTTAGGGTGCCTCTTTTCATGTAAACTATTGGGACTGTTTGCATAACCACACAAGTGCTAAGACTATTTTGATAGTTTCACAAATAATGTCCTATTACAATCTGTCTGTTTCTCTCTCCTCCAGTCAACTTCTTCTTCCACTACCTCTGAGCAGCTTGCCTGTAAACCACCTGCTTTCTCCTTTGTTTCTCCAACTAATCAGAAAGCACCACCTGACCCCGCTAAGCTCGGCGGGGCCTCTGCCCTAGAGGAGTTCCACACTAGGAGGCTGGACGCCAGTGGGGCCTTGGTGGAAGAAACAGCTTCGTATTTTCAAACTTCCACTCACTCGTCACCCTTTTTTGCATCGAAAGGCACCTCCTCGACGTTTCAGTTTCCCCATTCCACTCAGTTATCAGGTTCTAATTTGTCCAGTCCCAGTGAAGCAGATCAAAAACCTGGACGGACATTGGAAGTTCTGAAGAAGACAGCGTCAGCCTCACATGTCCTTAGCTCTGGAGAAAGTCTGCGACCCTCTTCTCCTCCACCGTCCTCCAGTGCTTCTCTGAAGTCGAATTCAGCCTCATACTTACCAGTCCGTATTGTCATGCATTCACTCTCTCCAAGTCCAAAGCCATTTACTTCCTCTCTCCATGGCTCTTCTTCCACTCTCTGTAGCCCAATGTCTTCTAGTGGAAATCTCTCAAGGTCAGGGGTGAAATCCCTGGTGCCCTCTCGGCTTTCTCTTCTCACTGCCATCCTCAAGTCAAACCCTTCTCACCAGAGACCCTTGTCCCCTGCATCCTGTCCCACTTTCTCTCTCAACTCCCTGGCTTCGTCCACACTCACACTTGATCAAAAAGCAAAGCAAGCCCCATCCACACCTAAAAAATCTCTCTCCAGTTGCTCACTGAGCACCAGGTCTCCTGGGCAAAGGGAACACCAGGATTCTGAATTTAGCCAGCCATCCTTTCACTTACCTTTTTTCACCCAATCTGCTCCCCTTCCTCAGGCACACCCCCTTTCTCCCACAAAACATGAAAGTAGTAGCCTTGCTTCTTTGAATGTAGAGAAGACACCATCACCCACTTCTTTAAAGAGTAATTCAATCCCCTCCCTGCTGCAAACAACATCGAGTCCTGTAGGTCTTCCTCCTGCTTCACAAAGATTTTATCCTTTTTCTTGGAAGAGCAAAAGGGATGCTGACCTCAGGGGTCCAGAAAAGCCCAGGGATATTTACACATATCCTTCTGCATCAGCCTCCTCTATGTTACCGTCTGCATTTCCCACTAACCAAAGAGCCACACTCTCCTCTCCAGGGGAAAGTTTCCATCCTTCCCCAGTTCTTTCAGACCTGCTACACAGATCCCAGAGAGCAGCACCACAGCTCTCTGGCCAAGGGCAGAATCCTTCTGCTCCTACTTCACCGCCTGTCTCCAGTGCCAGCTCTGCCTCTCTTCCCAAATTGGGGTCCTCCCCTCCCCCTCATGCTAATCTTCCCACTCGGGCACCCCAGCTCAGTCCTTCCGCACTGCACCCAAATTGTGGCAGTGGCACCTTACCTTCAAGATTTGGGAAATCGGAAAGCTCAATATCTGACCACAGGTCATCTGTTTCGACCCCATCACCTTCCACCTCTCTAACAAGAACCAAGGAGCGGTTTTCACCTTGTGCATTTTCCATGCCAACAGACCCTGAGAATAAGAAACCCAAGGTATTTTTTGCATGTTGCATGGTGCATGCTTATTTTGAAATATGGAAGAAGATTTTTTTGCAGAGGGGGTTAAATCAGTGATTATGACATTCTTTCTATTCCTATGAGAAAGTGCAAGTGTGGGGCTAGGGTGTGGCTAGGATTTGGTATATTTGAACATGGAGTTGAATTATAATCTGTCTAAAGTTGTGCATGTTTCTGTGAAATTCTGATTTTGTGTATCCTCCTGTTATGATAAATTCTTATATTTTTATTGTTTTAGGCATAATATGGTTTATATCATTGATTCAAGAGCTGGAATTTAAAGCAGCTAGTAGAGATTTGGTGATATGATACATGTCTAACTATTTAATAACATGGAATCAATTATCCATAAAAAATATTCTGTACTGAGAGAATTATAGATAAGATTAGTGTAAAAAGGAATATTATCTTAGATCTAGGCCCATATTCTAGGCCAAGCCAATTTAAAACTTTCTATTTTTCTTGCCATCATTCATTTATAATTATTAATTTTTCCCCTTCTACATGGTTGATTTCATTATTGCTCTTCATACCTCAAGCTAAATCAATATGCATTTAGCTATATCCACACAGGGCAAAGGGAATAGAAATTTCCTTTATATGTGAAAATGATTTGATTTATAATAAACACAAAAAAACTTAGTAATTTGAAATACAGAGAAAATAGACAGGCTGGGTATAAGGAAATAGAATTAAGAAAGTAGAAATATTGACTTTTGAGTGCTCCAAAGCAACCCACTGAGCAGAGATGTGAAACTGGCATTTGTTTTAATATGAGAAGGGAAATATTTGAAGGAGTGATCCATAGAGCTCATATCTTTTGGAAGAAGGTAACACTGCTATAGGACATGCCAGCTTCCCAGCTATTCTCAAATAATTAGAATGTGCATATTATACACCCAGAACTTGGTCATTGCTATGTAAATAAAATAAAATTAAAGTGCTTGTATTAAGAGGGAATTCAAATTTTCAGTTCAGTGCATTGAAGTAACACAGTTTTACTGCTTCCAACTTCCATGGAGACTGTGTCCAACTCTGTTTGAAGGATGAAGTTAGGATAGGAAAGATAAAACAACTCACATGCTCTTACTAATGATGTAGTTTAACTTAAAAAGCATGCGTGCATTAAACACCCACTGTGTGCCTACCTCTATACTAGATTTTTTTTGAGATGTGTGTATATATGTGCTTCTGTGTTTAAGGAAAGTAAGAGAGAATTTTTTTGTCTTAAAATTTTTTATTCAAAAATACATATACATAATGTGGAGAAGCTATCTAGAGTTATTAAATCTACAGTAATGCTGGAAAACAAGTATAAGGAAATGTTAACATAGCATAATATCAATTACATATAATTGTGCACTGAATTTGATATAATAGAAATATTATGAGAGTCAGGCCAGTTGAAATATTTAGTATTTATCTTAATGAAGAGAAAGGAGTTGATATTTCAGAAAGGGCAAATAATCTGACAAATATATAGAAGTTGATTCCAGGGAAATGTATGTGGAGACACAAGAAGATTGGCTTATCATTGAATAGTGATGATAATAGTAATGATGATTATAGTAACAGATATCAAATGCTTTCTGTGAATCAAGATATATCTTAGTAGTTATTCAAAATAGCTAAAAATTAATTAAAAGGGACAATGTCAGTTAATTTTATGACCATGAGATTGGTAATATTATTTTCTTCATTTTATACACCAAGAAACTGAAGTTCAGTGAACAATTTATTATGTTTCATTGCTGCCATCTTGGCTGGCAGTTAATTTGCATATCGCCCTGATTAGCCAATGGGAAGGGTAGCGGATGTACAGCTAATTACCATGTTTCTCTTTTATTAGATAGGATGATAAGAATTATCAATTTATATAATATTTGAGCCATTTAAAATGTATTATTAGAAATTATTAAGTCCTTGCATTTTAAACTTTCAAAGCAAATGGGATAGAGAAAAATCTAACATTTTTATAATTCTAAATTGAAAATCTTGTATATTTGAGGTAAAATGACCTAGTGATTATCTTCTTAATGCATATGCTATTATGAAATTTATTTGTGTTATATTACAAAAGCCTGGTGATGTAAACATTACCATTTCCTGAATTTATTAACAAGTATTGCCTGAACCCTATGGCCATGCACCTAAATCATTCCTCACCTCTGTGGGAAATGACTGTACTCTGGAGGCTTCGTCCAAGTGTTTCTGTTTGTGGTCACTTTGCTTTGTTCATGTTTTGTCCTGTTTTTGGAGAGACCTGGGAGAGGCTTGGCCCAGTGGGGCTTTTGCTAAAGCTAAGTCCTTTTTTTATCCTAAAATCAAGTTTGTTAAAGACCTGTTTTTCCACAGCTCATTTACTGCTCCCAATTTTAAAGAACTTTCAGCATTTGCCCTCTATTTTGTTTTATTTTCTTTATTTCCAAGCTAAAAACTAAGCTTCTAGAAACGCACGATAAATTTGATGTAAATTAAAATATAGAAATATTGAGAAATTATAATTTATCTATTTTTACCTGATCCTTTGAACAGAAAAATATTTCTTATAATGGGTAAAACTTGTGATAACTTCTGCAAAAAGAGTCACTCTCTGAGACATGCTGTTCTTTGTCTATTTATTTCTTCCTTGTTCTTGCTATTATCTCTCCAGGTAAAAAAAATCAGCCTGCGTATATATTTTTTTTATTGCAAACTATTTTTGCAGAAATTGTAACCTGAATATAAAAATTCATTAAAATGGATTCTGGGATACGGAAATCTTATCCCAGTTTCTTTTTGATGTTTGACTAGTCTTTATTAAATTGCTAAGATTATTTTATAGATTGATAGGAGAAAATAGACAAAAGCTTTGAGATATCAAAGAATTCATGCCTTTATGGATTGTTTCTCGTCTTGCTCCTTCTTCTGTGCTGCTAATCTGAGCACAGGGCTATCTTTGAAATTAAAGAGCTTCAGATATAGATCAGTTTCACTTAGTGCCAGATCCCAAAAGGAAAGAGGTCCTGGAATACAAATGGCCATCATATTAAAACATGAATACTTGAATGACATTAGTTCAAAGTCTGGGCCCTGCTGGCCTTTGATATGAAAATAAAATGGAACAGTAGAGCATGCTGAGCTAAACTCAGGTACAAAGTATGTGTAATGTTTCTTTTTCATAGATTGAATCTTAAGGTTCTGAATCTGTGTGCATTAGTTTGATACAGTTGACATATTTTAATATCAGATATAGTTAAGAATAACATTTCACAATATGAGCATGGCTGTAGACAGGATGGACATTTCCCAGGATGCTGTTCAGGCTACTCTTTGATCAGCATCCATGTTGTCTGAGATATTTTTAATCCCTTGGGAAAGTCTAAATATCACACAATTAATCCATGGAGTTGTATTCAGGTTGTAATATATTTCGCATTTATTTATGAAACAGTTTAAAATTTCTCCTAGTGAGTCATGATGTTCCATACACTCACCCAAGATGATGGTGTGCCTGTGTTGGCCTTAAAGTTATTTGGAAACAGCATATTTAAAGAATTAGTTGGGAGCTTTTTGATATTTTATGAACTTGTAGGTGGTATTTTTTTTTAAATTTTTTTAGGATCTTCAACATCATATTTTTCTTTTTTAAAAATTTTTTTTTCTTTATTGATTAAGGTATTACATATGTGTCCTTTAAATAAACTCTTTCCTTTAAGGCATCAAAACATTTCCAAATATATCATACTGGAAACTTGGTGGCAACAGTCTCTATGTAATTTTCTCCATTTCTGCTAATCCGTATATAATATGGGAAATGAGCAATATGAAATATACCTCCATGAGCTAAAATACTTAATGAGGGTTCAAACAAACCACTCATTCATTCAATAAATATGTACTGAGTGCTTATTATGTGCAAGGATATGTGCAAGACACTTTTCCAAGTTGTAAGGCTATATTGCCACAAGTAAAATAGCAAAATGCCTGCTCATAGAAAGTTTATATTCTGTGGTGGAATAGAAATAATCAATAATAACCCCCCCCTTCCCAAATAAGTACATTTTCTTGTGTGTGAGAAGGTCATATGTGGTAATGAAAAAATATAGCAGGGTAAGGGATGGTGTCACAAATTAATATTGGGTGGTCATAATAGGTTTCTTTTAGAAGGTGACATGCAAGGAGGTGTTGCTCATGGGAGAGGATAGTCAGGAAAAATCCCTGAGACCAGAGAGTGTTTGGCAGATACAAAGAACAGGGGAGCCAGTGTGGCCAGAGTGGAGTGAGTGAGGGAACTTGAGGTTGTCAGAAGGAGATGTAACCGTGAGCTATTGTAGGCCTGTGAGATCTTGCAGGCCACTTCTAAGTCTTTGATTTTTAATTTGAGTAAAACAGGAAGCAATTGGCGTGTGTGGGGGAAGGTTGAATAGATAACTGACAATCTTATCTATCTGGCTGTGTGTGAAGAACAGACTCTAAGAGAGTGAGAGAGGAAGTAAGGAGACCTTAAGAGGATATTGCAGCCCTGGCTAGTGTTGCTAAGTGGTTAGGTGAGGATTAAAAACAAAAAAAAGAGGGTATTGCAACAATCTAGGAAGTGATGGTGGCTCTGGGAGATTACAGCAGTGAAGACAAAGATAATATTTCTGTATATATTTTGTAGGTAGAAAAACATTCAGCAATCATTAAAGCTAGCCACATGTGAAATAGTAAAACAGCTAAACTACACATACGTACCTTCTTGTTTCCTTTTTGTCTTTTACTCTACCTCCTCCACAAAGTTCTTGGCACTTTCAGGGGATTCTAGATTCATGATTCTCCCATTCCTGCTATCTGTCACGTCCATCTCTATACTAACCAATGCTGTGTCCATTTTCTTTGCTTCTCTCTAGCTAGGTTTTCTGAATTCATCCTAGCAATCATTTACAATGTCAAGGATTGACAAACCTTTTTTTTTTTACCCCTTGGGGAATATTTGCATTTTAATTGAGAGACAC